TGGTGTTAGAATAAATAATTCTCGAGTGGCCAAACTGGGTTCTGGTTTTTGCGTCCGTTCGTACTAAGCGTTTCTGAGAAGCTTCTAGGAACAGCGTGAGTCCCAGCGTAGCAAGAGCTGGGCATTGACGGTTTACGAGACGAGGCTGACACAGGGCACTATACGTGTTCTTGACCTAATGCCTGTATTCTCAAACTGGTGTTTCCTGTACATTATGGTTGAGGGTCCATTCATGAAGGGCTGAGCAACTTCGTGCTTTCGAAGTGGTTGAAGAGATATGTGACGATTGTTTTTTGTTATCATAGGACTGGTAGTGGAATTCGGAAATGAGTAAGCTTCTACGGTATGTGAATTATAACTAACTTGAGGAACATGACTAAGTTTAGATGATTGTCCATCAGTTGAATGAACCAGTGACCCTTTTGAAACTTTCGTACTTATGGGCTTTATTGTTCAGGGTCTACTGTTTGGTTTAACTTTTTCCGTATTAGTCAGCTTGTGTAATTTGGGCTGGTGGTGACTAGTAGGATTTCCAAATAAACTGGACTTCTGTTGGATGGTCTCAACAGTTTTTCGGTGTTCCTAACGGAAACAGGACGTTTATCATATCGCCTTGTATTTACGCCAACCTGGGTGGCCACATTTAATTGCGACTTCATAGCAGCCGGGCTAAGAGGTTATGCTCTATATGACTTCCAGAAAGATTCAAAGTGTACAACTGAATTCTTATTGGTTTGCATTTGAGTAGCTTTCACTCCTCCTCATATCGGAACTCGCCGGAATCAGTCTTGTGTCAACCAGTTCGGATGGGATGGTAAAAATCCAATGGTTCTTACTGACTTTAGGTCTAAGTTTATTAACAGCTCTTACAGCTGTGTCTACAGCTAACTGTGTGTTGTGCCAGGCCTCCTCAAGAGGCGGGGGAGACTTGCTGTCGACCTCAGGTACTCGTTTCGCTATTTCCTCCTCAAACAGGGGCTCAGTGTCTTGATCTAGTTGAGGAGGCAACTGCTTCGCTGCCAACAGTAAATCAGTTTACGTGATATAATCCTAGGCACTAGTGTTATTTGAATTTGTCGAAAATGCGAGTAGCAACTGAAGGTTGCGTTACATGTGGAAGACATGATGTGAATAATGTTTTCAGCAGTGTGGGTATTACTGGTGCATACAATAACGGCAGCAATACTATTTTTACTCCAAACGAACCCGACAGTAGAACTAGGGATGTTACAGAGATTCACATCTTGAAGGTCCTCAGATTGTTTACATATTAGGCCATCAGTTATCGGTCAGTGCGTTGAAGCCCTAATGTGACTTATTTAAAGGCTCGATGGATTCTGGGAAACTGCCAAGAGAGTGGAAAAGAGACATTCTCTCTCCGAAGGTGGAGACAGGAAAAATGCCACCGGTTATAGATCAGTAGAGCTATTTCCGGTGGTATCAAAAGTACGCACACCAAGGAGCGCCTCGATAGGACTAATAGACTCCATGAAGCACATCATGGCTTCGGGGAAGGCAGATCCTGTGCAGCAAACCTACTATAAGCTTGAGACGATCGGACATTATGCTGGGATATGAGTATTACATTCCATGTGATTTTCCTACACTTTGAGAAGGTATTTGATACAGTTCACCATGACATCCCTCACAAAATGAGTCAGGCAGGTATAGCTGAGCCACTTCTGTCATTTTTGGATGACTATCTAGTTTGAAAGGAAATTATGCACTAAGGTCAATTGACTCCACTCATCTTGACACAGCTCGTCACCAGGAGTGTCACAGGGCTGTATCGCAGGGCCGTTGGTATTTTTGATTTTTATCAATGACCTACCATCCTGTCTACGCTGCTGAACTCGTCTATATGTTGACCTAGAAATTAAGAGAGGAATAAAGCTGTCAGTGGAAGTGAACATCAAACGCTAGTTCATTCGCCTTGGTCGCCATTGTTGGGCAACCCGAAGTGGTGAATGGTTCAGTCGTTTACAGGTTCAAAGAAGACGAATGAAAACGAATAATAGTACCTCATATTTTGTATAAAACATTTGTTCACAGACTATGTACCAATCCTCGATCTTAATTTCCAAATAATACAACTTCCTTCTTGAAGACAATGGTGTTTTGGAGTTAAAGTTGAGAATCAGTCGTGGTATTTATCGGTTTGGAGCGTCTTCGTAATAATAGGAACTTAGAGTTAATTCACCTGACAAAAGCTTTCGGAAGACTCATATGGGCTACAGGCAGTCCTAAAGCTACTCGAAGATTGGGCGGTTGCCATTGGTATGACTTTCAACCTCAAAAAGTGCAAAGTAGTAAAATTACGCACCTGCAGGCTGCAAAATGCAACGGAAACCTGTCTTGCTTAATGTCGGAGCGTGACTTAGGTTTATTCCTAGCGGATAAATGTAAACAAGCGTGGATTACGCGGGGAATGTAGCAAGGACATATGCGGTCATACAGTTTAAGCATAGATAATTAGGTGCACTCACTCCTGAGCCCCTCCTAAGGTTGTACAAAACATGCGTTAGACCACACCTTGAAGTGTGCAATATCATTACTCCCCCACTGGTTAGGAGAGATGTGAACATTTCGAAAAGAGTCCAAAGACGAAAAGTGATAGTTCTCGGAAACGAACCATATGATGAACGGCTAAAAATTAGCTCTCTTCACACACTCTTCACACTTAGTTGCCATCAACTTAGGGGTGACATAAGTGCTGCCTGTAAGAATAAAAATGATCATAATCACCCAAACAAAGTTGTTCTGCCATTAACTACGCATGGGCTTCCTTATGGAAATCATAGAAGGATAGCTTACCGAAGGGAAAAGACTCGAGTTCGTTCCCATTCCTTTTCACTGCAAGTTTGTCGTCCCTGGTACCCTTTACCGTACGTGGACAGCTTTAAATGAAGGCTGCATACAAGAACTGCATCCAAACGGCCTGTACCCTTGAAATCTCATATACTAATTATGGGCAGAAATCTAAACCCACCGTTTTAACTCATCACAATATCTCTTGTCTTACCTTCCTGACTACTCCAACTACCACACTTTCACTATTATTATTATTATTATTATCACTATTTACACTACGTACACGTATATATATAGACTTAAAGTTTCATTAGCTTACTGATTTTACCTTTGTTTTATTTCTTTTCCTGTCTTTTAGTCTGCATAACTTACACTAGTTATGTGTTATTATTATCATCTCTTCTTTTTGAAGACACCGGATGATTAATCGGTGTAAGGATCAACTCCATTCGCACCAGCAACGTGATCTTAACACACCTCATGCTGTAGAGAGCATATAAGTGATCCACGCACCACTCGTCAACCAAAGCTACGACAATCGAGTGGCTGGATGAACTACGCAGGGGTTTACCGAAGACCAGCAACCTTCGCCTCACAACCAAGATGTAAGCACGAAAAAAATCAAATTGGTTTATACTAGCTGGTATAGAAGGTTTTAGATATTGGATGATATGGCTAGTATGTCAATAACTATGACACAGCGGTAACACACCTATAACAAGATCATGACAGCTAAAGAAGAAAACATTTCCAAATACGCAACGCGACACATTTAAAGATATTGAAGGTAAAGCGAAGAAAGAGAACTTAAGTGGACGAATGCAAAGACCAACAAAACCTCGACAGGGATATACAGCCATCGGAGTAGTGGTAGATTAATTAAATGTTACACCTTAAGAAGACTGCTTTCTTGAAGGAAAGAGAACTTACCAAGGGTGGAGAAGTGAAATGCATAAGAATTCAGGAAGCGATATGAGTCTCACAGGATTTAAACCTTAAAAATCAGGCAGAACTAATTTAGATCCCGAGGGATTGAAGACTCAGCCTACTACACCCAAGATAAAGAGGAAAGATGTAATTTTGCATCACCACCTAGTGCACAGGACCTTGACGGTCAAGAGAAATACCTTTACAAAAGCAGCGATTCAAGTATAACATTTAGAAATAGTAGGAAGGACACTGTATGAGCTAGCATCACCGCAGAATAACACTAGAATTCGCCAAAAGTGGAATGAAAAGAAGGCTCTACAGACATCCAAAGAAGAAATAAAGAGGCATTGTGAGAAATATTTCACTACAGAATACTGTAGGCTGATAGGAGATAGGAAGATGACTAAGCAGAATTCTCTAGGCCGATCACTTTGACGAAATGTTGAAGTGACCACCACTCCAGGTGAGTATAAACAACACAGATATAGAGAACATACTCGACCCAACCAACAGAGAACATCAATCACCATCAGTGGGATAAATCTGACGTGAGTCGTCTCTTTCACTTACCTCAGCAACATCTTCTGAACTACAAGCAGAATTAATCCAAAATTCAGCCAAGATCAAGTTTTGAAAGTTGTTTAAGCATTCATTAGTCTGGATTTGGCGAAGAACATAGCAAGGAATGTGATGTTAACTTTCTGCAGTGATGTGAATTCAGTGGTTCCAAATAATTCACTACAAAAGTTATAGTCGCTACATGTTTTGACTTTCACCAAAAACTGGCTGCTTTCGCACTATTCTGGAGATCAGGTGGCCGGCCAGTAACCAGAGACTCCAGAGGTAAATCAATCAGTAGGTTACTGCATTTGCAGTAGTAAATGGAGATATGATAGACATACTTGACCAGAAGTTCAAGTAACACAGTATATGAGTCAGGTTTCTTGGTGTGACTCGAGTAATGAGCAAGGCGTCTGGAATGGACAAAAGTGTAGCATGGGAGACATCATGTGAAGTGGGCGGTTGCCAAACCAGCGAAAATCGGTCACAGAGAACTGAGTGCAATGGTGGTATGCTGCTGACACCCTCTGTCCCCCTGAGAGATCAAGGACTGAATAATCACAAAATAAATAATATGAGCGAGAACAAGGGCTGGGGCGTGCCAATCAGGATAAGTAGTAAATAAATATATTCAACAGAGACGGGTTCAGACGCCTGCCACTGGATATTGCACACTGAATTCGAAACATTAAGTTGGTGTATAGCTCAATTTTCTGTGTGCGTATTTGTGCATCATGAAGTTATAATTTTAAACGATTGGCTCAAAAAATGCTTCCTTGACACCAGGATTGACTGCAGTGATTCTGTAGCTCTCCGTTTTTACTATACGAAATTCAACGCAGGTGACCTTCTGCTCCGAAGTCACACTTTTAAAATGCAGAAGCCGTTTCTGTCAGGTACTAATTTTTTGTAATAATGACTGCTTTCCAGAATATGTAGAACCTCCCGAAGGACTTCATAAACTTTTGGAAACAGACAGAGTTACTGTGAAGCAGATAAAGCTGGCACAAGGTAAGTTTATTTCTTTTATTGCATAATAGAGTAAATATAACTGAGTAGATTACTTCATATGATGATATTGTTTTGCATTATGTCAGAATATTTTACTGACAACACAAGTGAAAATTTTCTGGGATCAGTGAAGACTTTGCTCCGTTTGGGCGATCGTTAAAAACTTAGTACTATGGAGTTTTAGTTCATATATGAAAAGTATACTTTTCACCTGTTTCCTGTGACTTTATACTATGCTTCAGTCTATTTCTTGACACAAGATTAGTGTAAATACATTTTTTAGGTTCCCTATGCCCAACAAACACTGTGACTGAATAAAGCACTTGCATAGTTCGGATTCATTCATTGGGCAGTCTTTGACTTTATGTTGTCACCATACTCAGTAATTTCATTTCTCTTGAAGATGCTGGTGTAAATAACTTGAGTCCTTTCAGTGACATATTACATTTTTGCTTCAATGTTTTTGTGACTGATTGTCCTAAACACATTCAGTTTCAGATTCAGATTTATTGGTTGAGGATAGAAGGCTTGGAGCCTATGCTAATCCTTTTCTAGTAAACTTCTGTGGTTGTCCAAACCCTTCTTGAACGAATCAGTTGAGGTTGCAGACACCACTTCTTCTGGGAGTCGGTTCCAAGAGTTTATGACTCGGTGTGAGAACCAGTACTCAACACCAATATGATTTCTCCTTGGCTTTTGAACTCTCCTGCTATGTCCTCTGAGGTGCTCCAACTACCCAGTGGGAAGGAAAAGAGAGAGTAGGTCAGGTCCGTAGTCGTTATTTAAAACTTTAAACACTGTGATTAAATCTGCTCTCTGCCTACTACGGTATGACAGGGAGAAGAGGTTTAAACTGTCTAGTCTTTACTCGTATGATAAGTTAGGCATGCTACGAACCATACGTGTTGCCTTCCGTTGAACCCTCTCTAGAATGTGTGAACCCCCTTTTAGACAAGGACTGTTGGTCTGAATTCAGTTTTCCAGTCTTGACTTCACCAGAGATGTATATAAGTATGTGATAACTGAGTTTTAATAGTTTCTGTTATATCTATTTGGAAAGAACACTACTGAAATAAATCTGTCTAAGCCTTGATTTTTCTCATTTAAAGCTTTGCCAGACTTTTGAGTGAAGTCATATGGCATTAAGGAAAACAAGTTTTTACAATATTCAATATCGGTTTTACGAGCTAGTATAAACCAGTTTGATTTCTTTGTTCTCGCCTCTCGATTGTGAGGTATAGATTCCTGATCTTCGGTAAACTTCTGCGTAGCTCTTCCCGCCACTTGACTATCGTAGGTTTAGTTGACTCCAAAAGGAGTAGTGCTGGGATTAATTATATGTGGTTTGTAGTATGAGGTGTGTTAAGACTGTTACTATTATGAATGGAGTTGATCCTTTCACCAGTTAGTCCCCCGATATCGTCGTCAAAAGAAAAGAGATAATAATAATAGATATAACTAGTGAAGATATTCAGACTAACAGACAGAAAAAGAAAGAAGAAAAGGTAAAAACAGTCAGCTGATTAAATTTGAAGAATATATATATATGTATCGGTAATAATGGTGATAATAATAAGTGTAATTAAAGTTGTCAGGAGAGTGTGACGGGAGAGAATGTAAAGAAGTAAAACGACGAACTCAGTCGTCTACCCCTGAATGATGTATGGGATTTTAAGGGGGTAGGCCGATTGGACGCTGTCATTGTGTCGCTGCATGATTGTCCAGCCTTCTCTTAAAAGCGTCCACAGACAATACCATAGCCTCATCTGCTTGTAAGGAATTTCAAGGACGACAAACCCGCAGTGAAAAGAAGTGGGAGCGCACCCGGGTCCTTGCGCTCTGGTGAGCTATCCTTCTGGGATTTCCACGAGGAAGCCTATACCTACTCAATGGCAAAACACCTTTGTTTGGGTGGTTCTGGTCATTCGTTATTTTGTAGGCAGTAATCAAATCCTCGCCTAAGCCGACGGTAGCTAAGTGTGAACAGGCCTAGTTTCTTTAGCTTTCATCGTATGATTTATTTCAAAGAACAAACGCCCGTCTTTGAACTCTTTCCAAGAGGGTGGCTTCTCTTCTAAGCAGTGGGGGTGCAATAATATTATGCACTTCAAGGTGTGGTCCGACGTATATTTTGTACAACCTAAGAAAGAGCTCAGGAGTGAGTGCATGTAACTGTCTATATGTAAAGTGTATGACCGCATATATCCTCGCTACATCCTCATGATAATTGAGTTTTAATATTCTCTGCTGTAATTGACACTACCTTTGTATCTATGTGGAAAGGACACTACTGAAATAAACATGTTTAAGCCTTGATTTTTGTTTTGGTCATTAAAACCCTTGCCAGACTTACGAGTGAACATAATTATTCTTCCTGAAGTTATACGGCATTAAAGAAGACATGTTTTTATAAGTTTATTGTAAAAAATAAAAAAACATGAGGGAGAAATTTTAAGTGTCTACAGGGTGTCACTAGACAAGCCCTCGAGTGGAACCCGAAAGGGAGGCGGCGAGTTGGTCGTCCAAGGGTGACTTGGAGGAGGTCATGTGAAGAGGAGATGAAAGCATGTGGGCAGACCTGGAGCAGGGTGAAAAAGTTGTCAGAAAACCGAAGTCAATGGAGGTGCGCAGCTGAAGCCCTATGTTCCTCTAGGAACTAAAGGATACAATAATAATAATACAGAAGGAGTTTGTGGAAGTATTTGTAGCTATAATACTATGTATTTCTGTTGTAATTATTTGTAATAGTAGTATTAGTATTTCGAGATGACCGAATTACAAGAATCCAACGAAAACACAGAGAGGGCGGAATTCAGGAAATTGTATTTAGCGGAATTATTATTCAATTCATATAAGAATTATATTAACAATCAACAGTAAGTATTTAAACAATACAGAGATAGAAATTGTCAATCACCACATCCGCCACACGTCGAATATCTCCTTGCGTATTTATAACGATGTCTCGGTTTGCTTGCAAGTAGCTGCGACCTTCTAACTGATTCTGTGATATTATTTTCATCAGTATTATCTGGACTTATTTCTGAATTATCTACAAAATCAGGATTAGTAGCGGAATCATTACAATTATAATTGGAACGACCTACTTCATTTATTGTCACTTTGTCCAGGTGTCTGTTATGAACTGAGTGATCTTTGATGTCTAATATCTTCACCACTCGATTTCCCATTTTTTGTAGTATGATTCCAACAGAAGGTCTATAATCATTCCCTTTGTAATAATGTACATTAGAAGTCGTGGACATCAGATGCTTTTTGAGAATTCGAGATTTGAAAAGTTTTGCAGGACTTTCACGGGTACTTGTATGCTCTGCATTCAACAGACGCAGTCTATGCATATGCAACAATTCCTCCATTTTAATCAGTTGCTCTCTCATCTCATTCAGTTTTTTTCGTGTTTTCGACAGTTCGCATTGTAACTCGGCTACCTCATTTTTGAAAACAGTTGACGCTTGAGTTGCTGAACTTGTAGTGGAGGTTTTCATTGGATGAGATTGAGTATTTTGAAAAGTTGAAAGACACATTGACTCCATTTTACTAGACAGATTGGGAGAATTATAAGAATTCTGAGTAACATAAGTATTCGAACTTCTGCAAACAGTCTTGATGTGTCCAACTTTACCACATTTATGACACTTAGCACCCTGAAAACGGCAAGTGCTTCGTAGATGTAACTTTCCACAGGAAAAACACGGTTTAATGTTTTTGATCTCTCGCTGCATTCTATTACCTGTGGACGACAGTTTGGATTGCTTTCCATGAACACTTGTATTTTCGACTTTGGACAACATGACATCAGATACTGACGTAGTGGGAGCAGAGTATTCACTGTTGACATCTTCATATGTAATACATAAATCTTTAGCAGTTTGAAAGGTACAAGAAGGAATCTGAATTAACTCTTTCTCTAACTTAGGAATATTGATTCCAGCAATTAGACGATCACGTAGTTGAGTATGCAGCTGATCTCCAAAGTTGCACTTTGAAGCTTGTATTTGAAGTTGAAGAATGAAGTCTCTTATCTTCTGATTGGGAGCACGAACCAGTTTATTGAATTGAGCCCTCTCTCTGGTCTCAAAAGTAGTTATATGGAAGTGATCTATCAGAAGTTCACGGAGCTTGTCATATGGCAGAGAAATGGGTTTATCTGGAAACGCCAGATTCTTCACTAGGCTATATGCATCTAGCCCAATAGCAGTGATGAAATGTGCTGGAATTTTGTCATCCCGAACGTTCTTTGAAATGCACCATGCATCGAAGCATTCAAGGTAATCAGCAATTTCCCGCGGTGAACCATTTATAGGAAATTTTCCCAGGTTATTTAGTTCCATCGCGACGCCAAAATGTTGTAATTTTTTGTAATCGTAGTATTAGTATTTCGAGATGACCGAATTACAAGAATCCAACGAAAACACAGAGAGGGCGGAATTCAGGAATTTGTATTTAGCGGAATTATTATTCAATTCATATAAGAATTATATTGACAATCAACAGTAAGTATTTGAACAATACAGAGATAGAAATTGTCAATCACCACAGTTTCCCTGGAGAAACCATATCCTTACGTGGTTTGGTTTCCTTCCTGCATTTCTTGTGAAACCACTATAGGTAGTATTTGTTTTCGAAGAAGTAAGCGTATGAAGTTTCGGTGCTTTACTGTCTTCAAACTCGCTCAAGAGATCAATAAATGTTATACTTTTTGTTATTCTTTGTATTGCTCTTTCTAAAGCCATATTCATTATAATACTTCCTGAAAAGTGTTATCGAATTTTTGCGATGGCTTTATGTTTTTCTATAGTTTGGCTTGTAAGGGTTAGTTATGTTTTTACGGGTTGATCACGGATTGATATCAGTTAGAGAACCATTGAAAACCAGGGAGTACTGGACAGCTGCTGTTTCACATCCTAGTTTGGGAATCATCGGCAGTACGCACTCAATGAGATTCGAACCCACGACCTTCCGGTGACAAGGCAAGCTCG